TCTTCCCAGCCAGTCCTACCCCAGCTTGTACTATGTTAATCCTCACCAGGTGCAGGACTTGGCATTCTCTTTTGCTGAACATCAGATTTCTATCAATACATTTTTCCAGCTTGTCAAGGTCTCTCTGAATTGCAGCACAACCATTCCGTGTACCAGGTACTCCTCCCAGTTTTGTGTTGTCTGCAAACTTGCTGAAGGTGCAGTCTATCACATCATCCATGTTGTTAATGAAGATGTTGAAAACTGTTCGTCTCAGTATGCACCACAGCGTACACTAGTAGTAACTGGCATCCAGCTGGACTTCATACCGCTGATTACACCTCTTCAAGCATGTGTAGTTCAGACAGCTGTCAATCCACCTCACTGTCCACTTATCTAGTCCATACTTCATGAGTTTATCAATGTGGATGTTACAGGACACAGTGTTGAAAATCTTGCACAAGTCAAGACCACAAATATCAACTGTCACTCACACACTGAGCTTGTCATTCAATTGCAGAAGGCTATGAGGTTCTCGGGCATGATTTTCCCCTTCACAAATGTGTTCTGACTACTCCTAATCACCTTGTTCTTACTAGGTCTAGAAATGGCTTCCACGATATGTGCTCACACACCTTCCCAGGGACTGAGGTGAGCTAATCAGTCTGCAGTTCCCCAGATCCTGCTCCTTGCCCGTCTTGATATTAGGAGTGACAGTGGCTTCCTTCCCATCCTCAGGAACCTCTCCTGATCACCAGGATCTTCCAAAGATAATCAAGAGTTCTATCTCAATGACATCAGCCAGCTTGATGAGCCCTCATGGATGTGTCCCATTAGGTCCTGTGGACTTGTGTATGTCCAACTGGTTTCAATGTTCCCTCACTCAGTCCTCCTCAACGGAGTAAATCTTCATTGTTCCAGACTTTCCAAGTGGGCTCAGGGGCTCGGTTTCCTGAAGCGAAATCCTACCAGTAAAAAGCAAGGCAAAGAAGGTATTGAGTACCTTGGCTGTTTCCTGTCACCAGGTTCCTTGCCCCATTCAGCAGCAGGTCCACATTTTCTCTAGTCTTCTTTTTGCTGCTGGTATATCTGTAGAAGTGTCCTGGTTTCAGCTGGGATAGAGTTAATTTTCTTCCCAGTAGCTGATATAGTGCTGTGTTTTGGATTTAGTATGAGTAGAATGTGGATAACACACTGATGTTTTAGTTGTTGCTAAGTAGTGCTTACACTAGTCAAGGACTATTTTAGCTTCCCATGCTCTGCCAGGTGCACAAGAAGCTGGGAGGGAGCATAGCCAGGACAGCTGACGCAGTCTGGCCAAAGGGCTATTCCATACCGTATGATGTCATGCTCAGTATACAAAGCTGGGGGAAGAGGAAGGAAGGGGGGGACATTCGGAGTGATGGCGTTTGTCTTCCCAAGTAACCGTTACGCGTGATGGATCCCTGCTTTCCTGAGGATGGCTGAACACCTGCCTGCTGATGGGAAGTAGTGAATGAATTCATTGTTTTGCTTTGCTTGCGCACATGGCTTTTGCTTTCCCTATTAAACTGTCTTTATCTCAACCCACGAGTTTTCTCACTTTTACTCTTCCAATTCTCTCCCCAGTCCCACTGTGGGAGAGTGAGCGAGCGAGCGGCTGTGTGGTGCTTAGTTGCCGGCTGGGGTTCAACCATGACAAGAAGCCCTTCTTGTTGCTCTTCACATCCCTTGCTAGATTTAATTCCACATAGGCTTTGGCTTTCCTGACCTCATTACTGTACTCTCAGACAGTGTCTCTATATTTCTGCCATGCCACCTGAGCCTGTTTCCGCCTCTTCTATGCTTCCTTTTACTGTTTGAGTTTAGTCATACCAAATATCACCAGAGATGAATCAGAGCTTGGATGCCACACTGGTTTATGTTCTGAAACACTTTTGCAGTAAACCTCAGTTACGAGTTATTCAGAATATCCATGCAACGTAAGTAGTGCTTATAGGAAACTTTGAAGCATGTCTTGGAGCAATATTCTTTTCTCTCAAGAGTCATCAACTTACTCTTTAGCAGGCAGCACAAAATTAAAATTATTTCTAGGTGGGTTCTGTTCTCCTTGAGTGAAGTAATGTGTATCATTTGTAAGAAGGGAAGTGGATATAAAATTCAATGAGCAATGACCATACAATACAATGCCATCTTAGTCACTGACCACCAAAAAAGTACAGAGAAAGTCAAAAGCTATATTCAGCTTTCTAAAAAAGCAGAGTCAGTCCTGACTATGTATGGAACTGTGATTTCACAGTTCAGAAAAAGATATGCCACAAATAGGACTGGAAGTTAATGCTACCTGAGCAGTTGTAAGTTACTATGGTAGGAACTGATCACAGCAAAAAGTGGATTCAGTGGCAGCAGTGGAGGTAGACCTGGATTCATAAGATCCTGGAGATTCCCAAGCATAGAATGGACTGGCCAAAGCCCATTCTTGTTAATGAAGTATCTATCTTCTGCACTAAAGATGAAGCAAAAGACCATGAATAACAGTGCAGTTCAAATCAAAATCTCATCACTGAATCACTATTACCAGCTTCAGGCCTCCATCAATTGAATGGTTGGAATGAAATATGCTTGAGTGCCTCCAGAAAACCCTAGTTCTTCTCAGAACTCCTCAGAAAAACTTGGTTCAGACACTGGTTCTTCTCAGATTGGGCTGTAAGACAGATATTCATTTAAAATACTGCAGTCCTTTAGCAGGGCACATTCAGCCCTGTCTGTTGCTTTTCCAAGGCTTTCTCACCAGAAGGTATCCTGAATAATACATCTGTTGTTTCACATTCCTCATATGCAAATACATTAAAATTAGGGTTTGCCCATTTTATTCATTCTTTGGGAGAATTCTACCTGCACTCTACTCTGCAATGTCTGTGACTTTCCATGTTTGGGAACAGGAGCTACTAGAGATGGGAAGATTACATGGACAGAATTTACACAGTCCAAATGGTAATTGTTGGCTGTAATTGCTGTAATTGTGTGGGTTGGCCAAATGGGAAAAGATTGTTTGGTGACCTAGAAATAGTGGTGGTAAATAGACATCCTCTCTTAAATAGATAACATTAGTGACATCTGAAATAAAGCAATCAGATTTCACCAAACTGCACAATTCACTGTCTTTCTAGCCGAGGCTCACTGTGGAAACTGGCAAAGCTACTGCATGAATTTAGTCAAATATCAGATACTGCTATAAGAAAAACCAAACCAATCCACAGCTCACACACCAAAGGAAAGGGGAAGAAATCACAGCCAAAGGGACAGGGAGCCTCCAAAACAAGTGTTTGATTTGGAAATTAACATGTTAGAATAACAAATAAGTTCTTTGGAACCCTTTGAATATCCCAAACGTAAATAGTGCAATCAAATCTTCCCTTCCGCTGCTCATTTATTGAAATGGCAGCTTGCAGCTGAAATCTAAATTTGTGTCTCTGTTCACCTGCTTAAACCAAACAAGGCAAGGCTATTCTTATGCACACAGTGTGAATCACTGTGTTCTGCTAACTGCTCCTAGCCACTTAAAGCAGCATTTCTCATTGTCTCCAGTCATCCATTCACTTCTGTAGCAAGGAGCAGTAGTTCAGTACCTAACACTAGATCATCAGGATCAGGCATTGTCCTTAACATATAAGAAATTAATCACAGTAGAAACATTTTAATTAAATTGATGCTTGTTAGCAGGTACTACCAGAAGTACCTGGAGTACCTGGAACTAGCAGTTTTTACACAGCAGTTGCTGCACAGGATACAAATTGAGTAACAGAGCTATAGTACAAGGCTGTTGGAAATCTGTGAGTGGGCATGGCAATGCTCAAGCAGATGTATATGCATTTAAATACTCAGGAGACCACTAGGACTTCCTTCAAGAAATTCCTTGTGCTGCACTGTCTACAGCTGAGCCAGAACAACATAGAAAGGAAGTATTTCAGTATGGTCTTTCTCAGCAGAGCAGGTCTTTCAAACACCATTTAGTGGCAAATGCAAGCACAATTGAGATTTAAAGTTTTATTCAGATCATGGAAACAATTGCTTACTGCACACTTCCAGTGTGACCAGGATGCTTTCAGACAGGAAATGAAGGCAGCCATTATAACACTATATCCACCCCAACTCGTTTCTCTGCCTGAGGCCTCAAAAAAGGCCAAAAAAAATCCTCTGTTGCCTGGTAGAGTAGCTTAGCAAGCATGTAGTTTATTGTCCAAGAGAATTAGCATGTAGAGGGTGTTACACAGAAAACTAATCCATTTAGAAAAGTGACAAAATGGAACAAATTTACTAAATCAGGTTTGTTCTACTGGCGTTATCAATCTCTTCAGCTACTCATACAGACGACCCCGACTGAACCCAACTGATTTTCTATAGTAAATTAACTATGTTTTTCATGGAAAAGTGTTTTATCAACCATGACATCGGGCTCAGCTCCACATTAAAAACATGCACAACAGCTGGCAACAGGCTGAAGACGCCTCTGAAAGATACACAGTGGCTTTTTCAATTTAGACTCAAGTGCAGTTTGATGGTGTCCAAATGCTCAGTCTGGTACAAGAGGACACAGTGCCATCTAAGTTATCTTTATGAAATACTGTGCTCCATACAGACCAGCATTGCTGTAATTGTGTTCTGTCTTAGGAAAGAATAGACTGAGCCATACCTATCACCACATAAGTCAGTGTGATTGTATGCATTTAACACTCAAAGCACATACAGTAATTACTTGATAGAAACAAGTTTTTAAATGCATATACGTATTTAATTACACTCATTATGTCGGTTCATTGTGAAGAGAAGTCCAGGCTAGCTGCTTGTATGAATCACACCAGTTGATCAACAGCCAATGAAAGGCAATAATCTAGGATTCCTCCATTAAACTCAGCAGGTCATGAGTGCAAAGTTTATGTCAACAACCTAATGACAGCCATTCTGTGTACGGAGAGCCAAGGAAAGAGACAAATATTTACTTTATGTAAACTATTGCTGAGCATGTTACTTAGGGCAAGAAAGTGCTGTTCAGCTTGGCTAATAATAAAACCCAGATGTCAGTGAGAAATTTGTAAAGATTCTTTTAGAGCACATAAACCTAATACAAACTGCAGAACCACATACATTTAAACAATTTTTTTCTTTTTTTTTTTTTTTTAAAGGCAGGCACTGATTTGAATGCGAAGAACTGAAAAACACTGATAACTGCCTAGATAGCCTGGAAGAATAAATATGACTCCT